GTTGAAGTTTATGTTGTGTTAAGGTTTTGACTTGCTGATAAGCCCCCAGGGTGAGAGAGAGCCTGGTTGTGTTCTCTGTTGGATGGTTTTAGTACTGAGGGTACAGAGGATGGCTGTGATAATGTACATCTCTTAAAACTTTGTGGGAAAGCTGATGGGAGGATAATTGTAGCAGATTTCAGTGCTGGATATACTCTCTTTTATTAGGTCCTGCTAGTCAAGTGTGCAGATCAGAGAGATTCCAAAGGAGGTAGCTTACAAGTCATCCTATGAAGAGCTGATAAAAGTCAAGTAGCTTTTTTAAGCACTCAGGTATTTATTTGCTCTAACAAAACCCTGACAAAACATGGAGTCTGATTTTTCTAAGCACTGAGCCTCCTGGATTCCAGAGGAAATCGGTGCTGGCTGTTGGTGCTGAGCATCTCTAAACATCGTACTTGTGGGTTCAGGCCCAGGTTAAACCCCCACTGACCCCAGGCACCTAATCAGAGAAAAACCAGCAATGTTTAGCCTTCTGACAGTCATTCCCCTTGCAGTACTGTGTCTCTGTTGGGCTCATGAATAAGATTTTCTTTTCTTTAAAAATGCAGCGTATGTTCCTTGCAGATAGCTCTGATCTGTGGTCCTGCTCCTTCCTTTGTGCATAAGCATTTCTGATGAATGCTCGCACAGCCCTGAGAAGTATTTGCACCTTTGGCGGAGGTAGCACAAGAAATTCCAGCTCTTGCTGGTGTTCAGAAATGTGTTTGCTGGATCTGTAACCAGAAATGCCTGCAAAGAACAGCAAGAAAAGATTACTAGAAGGAGTATCCGGAACCGAAATCCCAAATAACGTGTTGCCACAAGCAGTGATGAGGAGCAGTCAATTAGGATGCTCGTGCATCTCTGTGCTCAGTTTTGCCTGCATTTATGCTAAAGCTGTAGGTCACTTGGAGCACAGGGTGCCTGTGTGTGGCGCTGAGCTGGAGCCTTGCTTTGTATGGGGAGGGGCAGGGGCATCTGCTGTGCTAATGTATTTTCATGGTAAGCATGAATGTCTTCACAAGAATAATTACATGTGTGTCTCCTAAGTTAAAATTTAGCCTTTTAAATGATAACTTTAGAGGAGCAATCAAATAAAATAGAGCAGAGTATGCAGGATTGGGCACTGTTACTGATAGGGGATTACCTGGCATCCTGACACCGACCTCTGCCCCTCCACCTCTAGAAGAAATCAGCCGATTCAGCTTACTTTACCTTATCCTAGAAAACGACTTTCCTCATTCCTTCAGAGGAAAGCAAACGCTACCTCATCATCACATGCCAGACAACACGCCAGCAGAAAAACCCTTTCCCTTCCCACAGATGAGTGGCACACGAGGAAGCAGCACCGGTGGCTCGCTGTGACTCATCGCACTCCTGATCTGCTCTGCTGCCGAGGCAAGGCTGGCGACCAAAAAACCATGAAATAGCTGCCTCAGTTCTCAGTTTCCCTGATATTTTTCTCTCCTTGCTGCTTAAGAGCACCTGTTGGATCAGGGAATGCTCGTTTAACAGCTGAGGTGGGTGCGAGGTAAAAGGGAAGGGTTTGCAGAAATGCGCTGTTCCAGCACCAGTCGTCTGCTGACATCTGGTAATTTGTAAACTGTATTTAACAGATCTTCTGTCTGTGCTTTTACTGGCATTTCTGAGCAGATGAAGCTGTTACAAAGCCTCCTATTTCCTGCAGAAACATTCCGTGATTTGTTGCCCTTCCTTGTGTTCGAGACTAAAACAAACAGCAGCAGCGAATTTCACTGTATGTTTCTAGGCCTGGAGGATCAAAGCCAGGTTTTCTTTATTTTGTATCAGAGGAGAAACTAAGGAAAGGGATGATAATCCTCAGAACAAAGTGCCAATTAGAGAATTGTAACCTCTACGGCTGATTAGTAAGATACAACAAGGGAGCAGCGCAGTGGGCATGGGGATTTACGGAGGGTGTCGCAGAGCTCATCACAGCGAGGACAGCTTTTAAGAGGGAAAAAGAAAGAAAAATCCCAGTGCCATTTCCACCTCTGCATGAAGAGAGGTCCCAAAGGCCAGACAATGGTCCTTGTCATCCCTGCACAGGTTTGCCAGACTCAGCAGCAAGCCCCAAAATAGCAAAAAATAAATTAAAAAATGCTGAAGGAGCTTCTCTGCCTGCCTAGCTATCAGATATCAGGCCTAGGGAAAACGGAGACAGCAGCAGGCCTCATGTGGGATTTCTCAGCAGGACTCTTCCATTTCAGATCTGAGAAGCTGCAGTGATTTGTATCTTTGAATATGTTTTCAGCTCATTTTGCTTTTAATGATGCTGAGGAAAGGGGTGTCAACTCGAGGGAAGATGTATCTCTCATCCCTTGCTGCTCCGGTTTCTGGCAGCAGGCGGGCTGCTGCTTACAGTTAGGACAGGCTGGGAGAAATGCTGTGGCTGATTTTGTTGTGTTCATTGATAACTGATTGCCTCACAGCATTAAAAGTGGCTGGAAAGGAAAAATGTGCCCAAAGGCTTTCCTCAAGAGCCTGAGAAAACGTCACCTTGGTCCTTCCAAGTGCCTGCTCTTGCATGGCCATACCCAGTGTCCCAGGGGGGCCTGGACCTGGAGAGCCCTCATTAGGGGTGCTTGTAGGCATCTCGAGCTGCAGTATCCCGTGGGAGATGTCCACCTGGGGAACACAGCTCATGAAGCCTGGTCTAGATTAAAGGTACTTCAGTTTCCAGCAGCCACAGAACGAGTGGCTGAGGCTGGAGGCACTTCTGGAGATCATCTGGTCCAGCTCTGGCAGGGTCAGCTGCTGCCAGAAGAAACGCAACTGCTTCTTTTTTCTCCCACAGACTGGAAGGCAGGCAGCCGGTCCCCAAAGGAGGTGTTATTTAGCTGTTAAACCATGTGCTGCAAAGAAATGGGTGCAGAGAAGCAACGACATTGAAGCTTTTGTGCTAATTGCTGAACTTCAGCATCCTTGCAGCCTTACATGGGAGAGGAGCAAGACCCTGGCTGCGCCACCAAGGGCTCCAGTGAGCTGAACAGGCAGAACTGTCCGCTAAGCGTAACCTTTTCTGGAGACAAATGAAGTCGCCCCTGTGCCTTTTATGTGCTGCATTCCTTCTTTAGAAGTTGCCTTGCCGTCCGCTTAACGGTTGATGGGTATTTTGGGAGCACGTCCTTTTTAAAAAGCCCAAGAAGCAGCCGTTCCCATTTTTCAGTTGCAGTGTTTGTCAGCCAGGGAATTAGCTCCGGAGAAAAAGAAGCAAGTGCGCGATTATTTCGTGTCTTGGAAAAATGCCTTTCCAATGCTTCAGGTCTGCAAACAAGAAGAGTAGGGGATTTATTTTCCCAGTGTTGCTTCCCAAGTAGAGGAAGAAGGGAAGACAAATTCTGGTGTCACCACAGGAGGAAACTGCAGTGACAGAGTGGGCAGGTGGCAGAGCTTTGAGGCACCTCCTGTACTTTTGGGGCAAGCCAGAACTTACCCTTCCAAATCCCTCCACTGGGAAAAAACACCCTGAAAGAATCAAGAAGGGTGGCAGAGCCAAGCAAATAGGTTGGTGAAAGTGATGTCTTTGGAGGGCTTAAGGAAAAGGTTAGACATTGATCTGACAGGGTTTGTAAGGACGAGGCTGGTACCCACTGAGCTGTGGGCACATCGATCCCCCTTGACCTGCAGAGCATCCCAGCTTTCTCTCTCCTGTTTACTTCTACCCATGTGAGCAGCACGGGAGGTGTCCCTGCCCATGGCAGGGGGTCGGAACTGGGTGGTCTTTAGGGTCCCTTCCAACCCAAACCGTTCTGTGATTTCCTCAGGTGCCTGTCTGCCCCAAAGCTCCTTTTTCTTCTCTCAGCCATCAGACTGCAACTCATAGGTCAGCCTGAGGCAGGAGGCTGCAGAGCAGTGAAAGCCCAAGCCCCGGAGCGATGCTGGAAGCTGATCCTCCAGCAAAGCCTGGAGGGGACTTGCCTGGCAAGGGAGCACTCCAACATGAAGCCATTTGTATCAGCAGACCAGGCTGCAACACCGCTGTTCCCTTGGCCCACGTAGCATGTAAATTTGCAGCAAGGAGGAGGCAGCCCCTTTTATGACCTTTTTACAGACTGCCTTTGTGTTGCTGCACTTCTCCACGACAGCAGTCAGCTACAGGTCAGGGCCCTGCAAGTTGGGGCACAATGAATTAAAAGTCAGAGAGAGGATCTGGCATTTCTGGCACGAGCTGAGCAACCGAGGCCTGCTCCCCCCAAAGCAGAAAGCACCAAACACCAAATAATTTCAGTCCACGTAGTTGTCTCAGTCGACATGTGGCCCTAAAGCACTTTGATTTTTTCCTCCTGTCCCCATTCCTGCTTCTCTGTAGGGTGATTCCTGCCACCTCCTCTGAGCTTTTCTACTCTGTGGTATTTTTGCTAGCTAATATTAATGCTGAGAGATTCCAGCACTGCAGCCCGCTGGCTTAAATCTTCTTTTTATGTTGCACTGTAATGCATGGTATAAACCAATAGCAGTATGGGCACTCTCAGAGTAAACCTTTGTGCATGTGCAGAAAAAAAGAAGGAGCTATTGGGGTTTGTAGTTACTGTATAAAACGCTTCTGAACATTTTCATCTGAAGGTGGCTGCAGTGATATCATCCAAGTGTCTCCAGCCCGTTCCAGAAAGGCTTAACTTAATCCAGTGCTGCAGTTAATGTTTTCCCCGGAGCTTGAATGTTCCTCTCAGAAATATGTCCACCCCCAGCCCATATTTATTGGTTAGATGCCAACTGGGTTTGGGTTCAGTGCTGTTGACAAGGCCAGCGTCATGGGGATTTAGACAGAACACAGCACAAAAACGTGCACAAAGCAGCATGGTCCTCGGCGGCAGCACAAAAATGCTTGCACAGGGTCACGGGGCATTCATCTCAGATCCAGAGGTGCCACTGACTCAGCCTCTCCCATCTTTCAGTAGAATTATCCTGCAAAAGAATGAAAACAAACCTTTTTTGTTGTTGTTATTCTTTCCAAGCAGCTCTGAGGGCCAGAGGAGAGAGCTCTCAGGATGCCAGAGCCAGCCAAGTCCACTTCTGCCCCCAAAAAGGGCTCCAAGAAAGCCGTGACGAAGACCCAGAAGAAGGGCGACAAGAAGCGGCACAAGAGCAGGAAGGAGAGCTACTCCATCTACGTCTACAAGGTGCTGAAGCAGGTCCACCCCGACACCGGCATCTCCTCCAAGGCCATGGGCATCATGAACTCCTTCGTCAACGACATCTTCGAGCGCATCGCCGGCGAGGCGTCGCGCCTGGCGCACTACAACAAGCGCTCCACCATCACCTCGCGGGAGATCCAGACGGCCGTGCGCCTGCTGCTGCCGGGGGAGCTGGCCAAGCACGCCGTCTCTGAGGGCACCAAGGCTGTCACCAAGTACACGAGCTCCAAGTAGCCGGACACTGCCCCTCCGACGGGACCGTTGAGCACCGAACCCTCGGCGCAGGCGCAGGGAGGCAGCTACGACCCGGGTGAATGTCACAGCTCTTCTCCGCGGCAATGTACAGGCTTGGGACGGGCGCTGGGAGCTGTCGAGTGGAAGAGGAGACGGCGAGCTGGGTGTTGGCTCATTTTCATCGGGGCTTCGGGACGTGCTATGGGTTCTGCACGCTGCACCTCAGGCGACGCTGGTGGAGGAGGCCTCTGCTTTCACATCCCATCTGAAGGACTGGCTGCACTATATCCAGATTCTCCTCCGTGCTTGGAAACCATGCATGTGTGGCGCCAGCAGGGGAGGCTGCCCACTCCAGAGATCCTGTCTCTGAAGTCTTCCTGGCTGCTTTCTTACCGTCATCTGAAATGGGCACCGGGGAGTCGGCGCTTGCATCCCCTCTGGTAGCCCAGCCCCAGCCCGTTGTCCACAGCCCTCCTGTGCGGGCAGAGGTGGCACCGACAGCCACAGCCACAGTCCTCAGACCGAAATCCATGCGGATCCAGCAGAGATCTCTGCTCGGCAGCGGTGTGTGAGGCCTCTTTCAAGGTCACACCACACGCTGCTCCTCCTCCTCGCCCCTGACGGAGGAGGGATGAGCAGGCTGGTGGCGCAGGCACGCGTGTCCTTGCCCACCGGGATGCTGGAGCCACCAGCTGCCTCCCAGCTTGTGCCAAAGCATACGGATGGGCAAGGGGAGTGTGGGACCACCTCCTCCCGCTGCTGCTTTGCCTCCTCTATGACCTACGTCAGTGTGCAAGACACCAATGCTGCTGCTTTTTGGAGACTTTTTCTGCCTGTGCACTCCTGTTCGCTGTGAGGGTGGGCACGGCGGGGTGGTGTCCGAGGGGGGACGCTCGCTGCGGGCAGCTTGCCCTGCCCCTGCCTTCCCTGCTGCACTCATCTGCTAGCAAGCAAAGCAAAAGCTGGGGCTGGGTGGATATGTAGGGACACTTAAAATATCACTGCATCCCAGTGGTGTTTTATGGGTTAAATCCTTTTGAGCTAATTCAGATATTCCCCTCCTCAAAGTCCACAGTAAGGTGAGCAATAAGAAAACCCCAATAAAAGCCATAGAGATTAGTGGAGGAATGTCTCGGTTACAAGTTTAGCATGCAGGGACTGCTGGATAGCAGAGCAAAAGCATGTGTAGAAGTGGTGTGAAGCTGAAGCTTCCTACTCAAAATACAAAATTAGCCAACATTTTAAAAAAATATATCAAAATCTCCGGTGGGCTATAGCACTTCAGATCAAAAATATTCACGTCTTTAAAATAACAACTGCTTTTTGCAACTTGTTCTGTAAATAAAAAGGGCAGCAAAGACACAGCTTCCAGAACTAAGTGAAGGGTCTCTCCAAAATCCAAGGCACCATTTTTAATCATGTGATAAATTCCTACCCCCAGATAACACCCTTGTCATACACCTCTCCTTTTTTCCTACTTTGGTCTCCATCTTACCCTTTGAGAGTGATGGCGACCCTTGACAAATTCACGTTGCTTTTGGAGATGCAGAATTCTGCTTTCAGCCACATTTCATACAGTAATTGCAGCAGGAGTCACTAGTGATATCCTTCAGAAAGAGCAAAAGCCAGGTCTCAAGGTGGTGGCACCCACAAGAAGCAGCTCCCAGCAGCACCATCTGGATCTAGTAGCAGCAATCTGCCATCAGTCTGAACCATTGGGCCATCGTGCTTTGAAAGGGACAGCCTAGCACTTCACTTCCTTTTTATTTATTTATTTATTTATTTTCTCAGTTAAAAAGTCAAAATCAGATACCAAAGATGAAAATGTTCCTGCACTGTCACACGTGCACTGCTGAGCCACTGTCATTGTCCCACCAGAAACCAGAAAGCAGAGGATGCAGAAGGGGAACACGTGAAGCAAAGCACTGCTCGGCGGCACTGAAGCTTTCTCCTCCGGTCCCTAGGAGCTGCAAGTCGCAAACCACCCCTCCCAGGGCTGCGCCTCAGTGCAGGAGCTGTTCAGTTCCAGCGATGTGTGCACACCACGGCCCTGTCCCGCTCCTAGTCGCAGTGCTGCTCCCATTCTCCTCCCTGTGCTGTGCCACAGTTGCCACTCCATTTCTGGAGGCTGTTCCAGGGAGAGGAGAAGTGGCGATTTAAGGCTGCAGAGATACTTGAAGGCTTAAGGAGGGCGTTTGTGTTGAAGCCAGGTGACCGAGGCTGATCATCTCCATCCATTTAGAGGTTAGGCTGTCCTTTCACCCATAATTTGCTCTTCACTCTCCCTTTATACCACTTTTTTTACTTGCCCCTGACAACATGGAGAAGAGGATTGAGGAACCGATCGAGGTTAAAATGAATAAATTAACTTTATTTTTTACTTTTTTTTTTTTTTTTCCCTCTTGCAAGCTTCATTTTAACCTTGTTCTGGTGTCTGGTCTGATTTGTCCCATGGACACTTGTGCCGGACAGGGGAGGGGCTGGTCCAGGAAAGGCATCAGCTCGGACTGCCTCAAAAGCACTTGTGAAATCAATGACCTTAGTGTTAAAAGACACGTGAAAAAAGGAAATCTGCAGCTCTTGCAGTCTGTGCAGGCTCACAGATGACTTTGATGGGAATTATTTTGACTGGGATGGGCTTGGATTGAGCCTTAAAAGTAGAGACAATAGCAAATGTTCTAAAAATTCAAAGATCATAGTGTCAATTTTCAATTTATTAAGCTGAGGTGTGACCTACTCCACAGATCCCTGGCAAGGAGGGGTTCTGCAGGGAAGGGGGTTCATACTTCAGGATCGGTGCTTTTTCAAAATACATCTTTCCAGCTCTGGAACCGATACAACAGTTGAACAACGAAGATAATACACCAAGCCGCCCTGACCCCACCTTATTCCAACTGCAGCTCCAGAAGCATTTCTGGGACATTCCCATGTCTTACCAATAAATAAAGTAAACAAATCAGCTGCAGATTGAAAGTTAGAAAAGGAAATGGCAGAAGAATAACACTGCATTGAGACTAACCCTGTGTTAATGGAGGTCATTGCACTAAGCTACTTGTTTTCATGTACAATTTAGGAGATAAATTTTTCTGATAGATCTACTCGTGGTTTTCCAACCTGCTTCCCTAAAGCCCACCCGCCACTGCAGGTCTAAGCCCGCAGAAGAGCTGAGTGGCTGCGTGCTCGGTCTGGGGGTTTCCTCCCACTCAGGCCGGGTAGGTTTTGAGTCAAGCACGTGGAGAACACGAGTAGCAGCAGGCAGAGGACAAGTGCCCCTGACAAGTGCCAGGCAGCCCCGTGTCCCCGCGCCCCGCCACACCACGCCAAGCTTGGCATGGCTTGTGCACAGCCCTGAGCCTTCGCCCCGTCAGCGCGCCCTCTGACAGTTTACATCCAGAGCAAATTGTTTACAGGGAAAGAAAGACTGTGAAATGAACAATAAAACTCACTTGCTACCAGGATCCGGGGGAGTGCCCTCTGACTAGTGCCGGGGGGCAATCTCTCCTGCTTGCTAGCTGTGCATGGTATCTTGTGGGCTTGCGTGCACAGATCTTTTCCGAGAATACGTGTTACATGCTGTACGACCTATGTTATATCACCATTGTTTTAGGGCATATGTTACAGCTAATTCTGTTTTCTGTTAAGTGTATGAATAAAACATAAATGCAGACCTGATGGAAGTCAGGTGAGACGCAGCTCTCAGGCCTCTTTGCTTCTGCCACGTCACGGCCCCCCCCAGCCCAGCGTTTCTCACTCTCCATCGTATTTCCTTCAGCGTCTGGGGCTTGGGTAACCCAACCTGCCAGGGCAGAGCTGAGCCAGCTCGCTCTGCTGCTGGTTCATCCATCTTCACCTCAGGGTGAGGAGGAGGATGGCAAAAAAGCAGCTTGACCTCCCACAGCCACCTCTGGCACCAAACAGGCGACACAGTCAGCTGTGCATATATATGATCCTCTGTGCCTGATGTGAGCTGTGTCCCAGGGAGGGGACAGCTGCTGGTGTCACGGTGTGGAGCACATCCAGGATGCTGCCACCAGCCACCCTGTCCCCAGTACAGGCTGCATCAAACTCACCTCTCCTTGCTGCACGCAGCCGGTCCTTGCCTGTGGTGTGCACTGCCCGGCACCTGTCCTATAAACCCCAAGGGACAACACCTTCCCCTTGCACAGACAGAAGCACTGCGAGGTTAGAGAAGTGTTCCATGCACCTTCAGAATTTCTCTTTATCTGACTCAGTGATCCCTGCTGCCAGAAACATCTTACTTTGGACCATGAGAAGCTTACAGGCAGCAGATATGGAATAAGATGCAGCATCTGAAAACCCCAGGAAGAGAAAGAGCTTCCTTTTAAAGAATTATCCCTAAGTACTCTCAAGTGAAAAGCTTATCTATCGGCTGGACATCAGCATGGTAATGCACTCACTGCAGTGGGAAATGTGTGTGCTTTGCCAATGCCATGTGCTGGAGACACAAACTCAGACTTCAGAGGTGCTGTATAGCACCTCTAAAGACAGGGTCATAATTTTAAGATAATTTGGGAACAGCAGCACTTGGAGAAAACACACCTTGTAATTAACTGATCTGAACCTGGAGTATTTCCTTCCAAAGAAAGAAATTATACCACTGCTGATTCCCCCTTTGCAGAGCAGCACCCACAATGTGCTTTCATAACAGAGCTGACACCTGGGCCTTGGAAAACCCAGACCAGGTTACAACAGGTAGAGCAAAACCTGTGGCTGTGCTCCCTCAGGATGCTGGGAGGAGGGAGCCAACATTTTGTCTTAGTTACTCGGTTATTATTTAGTCATTATGACCTGGTTATTCCAAGACCGTTAGCTGAACATGGGTGCCTCAATGGCTGTTGGCAGAACCAGATACTCAGGAACATCAAAGAACCTGAGGGAACCAGGTTTAAAACAAGTAAAAAGGAGAAAACTTGATGAAACGGGCACTTTACCTCTTGAGCCCTTTGCCGAAGGATGTCGGAGGTCAAATTTGGTTCAAGGACAAATTAGTGGGAGAGAAATTCACTGAGAGGTACTAAACACATATAAATTATGTTTAAAATGATTAAACAGGTAGTTATTACATTATTCTGCACTATTCCTTCAATCTTTCTTGCCTATTCACTCATGGTCACTGCTGGAAACAAGACGTTGGGTTGGATGGACCAAAGGACATCTACATAAACGCAGGTAATGCCTGCCTTGACTCCTGAACTGTCGAGAGTTTCAGGCAGTTCTCTTAGGCCTCTGAAGAAGAGGCCTAAGAAGAGAGCATAAAAGAAAGCCTTTTCCCTTTCTTTTCTACATTGTTCCTTCGCTTGCCTCGATGGTTATGTGGATTGAGTCAGGCTGGCTTGCAAGAAAGATGTAAGAGATGTTTTGTTTCTAAAATAGAGTTAATAAACACAGATGGTGTGAGAAAGAGAGAGGAGCTTCTGCTTTCTCATAGAAAGGAAAACTGTTCTCAAACATTTCTCGTTTTCTTGATACAGTTGTTTTAAAATATATATATAAATATATACACAATTTCCTGCTTTTTAATGTCCATAAGACTAATCCTCCCCTAAAATCTTCTACAGAAGCTCTTACAAAATTCATTCAGAAAATTTTTCTTCCAGATTTAGATGTCTTCTAGAGAGCTGTAATAGAAAAGAGAAGATTGGTAAGCATGGAGAAAGAGTGGCAATGGATGGGTGTGAGGCTCCAGAAGGACCAGGAGCACTGTGCGTGAGTGCTGTAAGGGTTGCAGGCACTGGTGGGACCCCAATGAGGAGCCCACGAAGATGCCAGCACACACAGGAGGCAGAGCAAAGCCACTGCCAGCAAGAGAAGGGCACAGAAGGCATGTCCAAAGCTGGGTTGATCACCATGACTCCCTCATGCTCATATTCTTGTACCCACGTGAGATTGGTGTATCCAAGCCGTCTGTCCATCACACACACACCAGGGGACAGGTTTCCATCTTTGAGTTGATTTTGAGGATGAGGGACGGTGCCATGATATCCTCAGTCATGTTTCCTGGGTTCCCCTTAGGTTGGTGAACAGGGAACATAAGAGCATCACATCCAGTTTAACTAAAATAAAGGAAATAAGAGGCTGCAGTTGCCATCTACCACCTGCCTTTTATAGGATTTTTGCCTCTGTGGAGTGCTGCAGCATCTAAGGGTTCCAAGCAAGCCTGGTCTCACGGGCAGTGATGAAAACAGGCTATTGAGCAGCTCCATCTCAATAAGCCTGGTCTTTGCAGGAAGTTTTTTTAGTGCTGGCAAAGTGGGAAGCTGGGGGGCTGCAGCAGGGACGGGCTGAGCAGGTCAAGAGGCAGATGGGTGCTTTTGGCAAGAGGTTGCTTTGTTGGGACCAATGCCCGTCCCACAGCTTCTTCCTCCTGTCCTTCAGGCAGCAACAAGTCACATCCAGGTGCAGATTTGGGAGCTGCAGCACCCTCGCCTCCCTTTTCACAAAATCCCACCCACATCTGCGTGGGCTCACCCTGAGGCCTGCTGCAGCCCTCGGGCCCAAATCTAGGGTGAACCAGCTGCAGCTTTACATGGAAAACTCAGCCGTGAGAAATAAAAAGAAGGAAATTCAAATTCAGGCTCCCCCATCCCCTTTTGCAGCCCCGGGGCTAACAAAAGCGGTCGCCGTGGGGCCCATCAGCAGCCCCCTGTTAGCAGGGGACAGCCCGAGCTCTTCTTAGCCTGGCCGATTCACACAAAGAAGCCTTTATGGCTCAGCAGTGGGCAGCTTGCCCCTCTCCTCATCACGCCTCTGCTCAGGCTTTCAATGCAAGGGGACAAAAACCTTTACAGCCCCCCGAATCCACCGCTCCTCACACGCCTGCCATTCCTGGTGTTTAATAACCCTTATGTGCAGACACTAGGCCTCACAGGACACCGTCAGCACCAATTTCTCATTCAGAGCCAGCAGAAGCGAATCACCACTTGGGTTACTCCACATTTTTGTGTGGGATGATGGATAACAGCAGCAGGGAAAGTTCCCCACAAGCAGCTGCACCCTGTGAAGAAGGAACACAGGGTCCCCCATGCCACGGGGTATCACAGCAACCGAGGGCTCGGCTGTATTTTAAAGGGATTAGGAGTGTGTATGGCAAGGAGAATTTTAATGACAAAAGGCTAAATACATGCAAGTTTGTAAGCAAGGGGAGCTCTCTGCTTTATGGCAGAGTTAACTAGTTGCAAGGGAGCAGCAGGAGGAGATCCTATCCCACCCCATCAGCCACAGAGTGGTTTGCAGCATCCTCAGGATCCCCTGCAGCTTCCCCACACCTGGCCGGGATCCTACACCAGGTAGAGGCTGAACAGAAATTCATGCCATACCTGCCCCCATCACACAAATGAATAATTAGTTTGGACTGTTCAGAAAGCAATACTCAATTTTGTTAATTTAATTTTATTTTATTTTGCAATTTACCTTTTGGATCACATTTGTCACATTTTCCTCAGGATCCCAGGACCCATTCTGGCTGTGGCCAACTTTGACACCCAGCCACACGCCTGCCAAGGCCTGAGGGGGCAACACTGGGGTCATCTGGAGATGACCTGAAAAAATCTGGTCAACAAAAGTACCTACAGCTTTGCTTCCAGGCACAAGTATGCCAAAGCTTCCGTGCCTATGCAGGGCTGAACAACGCTGGACTGATATATATGCCTGTGGTGTCTCTGGCAAGTTGTTTTAGGAAAAGCAAGAGGACTGAGCCCCTGTTCTCCTAGTCCTATAGCTCAGAAAACAAAAACCCTGATTTCTTTCCTTCCTCTGTTTACAGGAGAGAGAAAGGAGGCTTGAAACAAAACCACCAGTGATTAGGAGGAGCACACGAACTGCTGACTATAGCCATCCACTTCCTGACCCCAGGTCAGGGTATCCCAAGCTCCCAAGCTACCCTTCCTGCTGATGTTGTGACACTGTTTGGAAAAAAAAATAGGGAAAATATATGAAAGAAGAAGCATTTCCAAAGTAAGAAACAGCAGATCAATACCTAAATACTGTTTCCCTTATATGCTTAATGAAAAAGGTACAAGTGACCTGGAGCAGAAGTCCATTTCCCTGTGGTTGCCTTCACCTCCAGGCTCAGCATCAGGAGGACTTCCATGTCCCTTCTAATATTTTTATACAAGGGGTCAGTCTGGGAGAGGAGGAGGACTCCTTGGAAATGAGGTGTCACTTCAATCTCACACACATCTCTAGCACAGCTAAGTGCCTGCACACCGGTGGAAATCCAAACCCCACTTCTCATTCCGGATTCAAGACAGCAGACCTGTCCTTAGCTAGGTCTGAAGATCCAAGCGCTAGTAATAGCAGCATCTGTTGTTGTTGTTATTATTAACCTTTACAGAAGGTCTTTTGCCCGTCCCTGCAGGCAGTTTAAAAGGGAATCCCTTGGTGCTACCTTAACACCGAGAACAGCGTCCATTCCACATCCCGGTTATGTGGCGTTCCTGCACTTGTCAGATGAGGACTGACCCAGGAGAGGTAGCTGCAATATCAGACAGTCCTCCCAGCCCCCTAGAGTCAGCAAGGTATGAGGTTTGCCAGGGAATTATGAAAGATTTATCAGAAGACATGTGGCTGAGCTGACATCCCTGATCACTTGTGGGATTTCATGGCACAGGACGTGTCAGGTTGTGTTTCACTGTGCAGGACCACTTTTATTCTTTACTAGCACCTTCCTAGC